TATATTTACATAAGGAATTTATATCACACGTGTTGGAGGTATTGGTCCTACCAAGGCCTCCCTTCCACTTTATTTGCTGAGACTTGCACCCTATTGTTTTACTCTCACTTTGTTACCTTTTCTTGGTATATATCCTGATCAAATATATACCTATTTTGAGCGGTTGACTTAATCCTCTTGGCTGACCCCTTCTCTGCTTTCTGTCCGCTGCACTCTTTGTCTGGCAGCCTGTGAGCCTTTTTTGTCTTGGCTCTCACCCGTGACTTCCTTCTGGCCGTTGCTATTATTTAGAGGCCTTGGCCTCTTCTTGTGATAGGAGCCTGCGTAAGTTTGTTCCAGAGAGCAGTGCTCTCTTCTTCTCTTCCCTTTGTGTGAGAATAGAGAGAGGGTCTTAGTGGTGAGAAGAAAAATTAGAGTGTGCAAAAGCCTCCCTTAGAGTGGTATGTGAGAGTGTGTGGAGATAGACCTGAGTCGGAGACGGATATACGGTCCTAACAGTGGTATCAGAGCAGGTTCCACCGTCTGCCGCCGCCGCTGTCCACCGCCATCCGCCGCCATCCGTCAATTTGAGGTCCTGGAGGTCATCGATCGTCCACTGAAGCCTCGCTTGGTGCCGTTGCTTCCTGTTCACCTCGAATCCGATTCCCCTTGCCGTCAGCCGTCGAGTTCGAAGCTGGAGCCATCGTCTGCCTGAGAGCCGTCGCCGGAAAGCTCGCAGGTTGAAAACTGCCAATCTCGTGGTCATTGAAATCTCTGCTGGAGCCGCCGTCCGTAGCCGGAGCCGCCGTCGCAGGGAAAGTGCTCGCCGGTCTCCGTTCGTCGCTGGTCTGCAGGAACGCAGGTCGCAGAGGACTGAGACGAAGCAGAGAGAACGCAGAGGCTTGGACTTGGGTTCTTTTTTGGGCCTCTGGACCTGGGCTGTTCATTTTGTAGTGCTGGAGCTGCTGGGCTGACTTTGGGCCTGGTGGACTGCTTCTGGAACTAAAGGAGCTATTGACTGGGCCATCTGAACTGGAGCTGGGCTGCTGACCTGCTGGATTTGGGCTGCCAAGCTACTGGACCAGGACTGACCTGCTGGGCTGCTGGAGTTGCTGGAGCAGCTGGACCGCCGATCAACGCCGGTCAACACCGGTCAACGCCGGTCAACGCCGGTCAATGCCGGTCAACAGTCAGTCAATTGTCAGAAAAAATCCCAATTTTTAAATTGGGTAGGTAAGGTCGAAACCCTCTCCTAGGGTTTCGCTAAGGTAAATTGGCGATAAACACCCTAGGTGCACCGGGTGCCTCCGGATTTAATTTATTCCCCCTCCCCGCGGGCCGCCGGTAGATTGTATCCCGGCCACCAACCCCCGAGGTGCGTTTGCTAAACCGTCTCCTTTGTGGCAGATTGTTTAGTTGTTTAAATTGAATTGCATAGTGTTGTTAATTTCAATTCTTGTGCGTAGGGGTGGTTTATTGGGTGTTAGGGGTAGAATTAATTAATGTTAACTGCTGCCCGGAGTTGTTTTATGTGCCAAACTGTCCATATTTGCTATTTGTTGCATGCTGCCCGGGGTTATTAAAGTGTATACTTTATAGCCCGGGTTGGATTATTTTCTGTCAAATTTGTCTGTTTAGCTTTGTGTTGTTTTGTGGTTGATACCATGGCTGCTAATCGGTATGGTATGCTTCCATTTAATGGAAAAACAGATTTTGATATTTGGAAACAGAAAATTAAGTGTGTTTTAATACAACAAAAAGTTTTCAGAGCTGTCACTGGTATTTTCCTTGAATCAGAAGATAAGGCTAAGCAAATTGAAATGAACGAAACTGCTTGTTCTACTATTTACCTGAATCTGTCTGATTCTTTGCTTAGGAAAGTGGGTATTCTTGAGTCCGCTAAGGAATTGTGGGAGAAATTGGATAGTCTCTATACTGATACCTCTTTGCCCGGGAAGTTGTTTTTACTTGAGAAATTCTTTAGGTTTAGGCTTGACCTGACTAAGGATATAGATGAGAACCTGGATGTGTTTAATAAACTGATATAGAATATCAAACAGGCAGGTGATAAACACATAGACGATTATACTCCCATAGTATTACTTAATGCCATTCCCGACTCTTATAATGATGTTAAGTCCGCTATTAAGTATGGTAGGGATGAGATTTCGTTGGATATTGTTGTTAATGGGTTAAGGAGTAAGGAATTAGACCTGAAGCATGCTAGGGGTAGTGCTAGTCAGTCCAGGGACTCCGGTGAGGCTATGTTTGTTAGAGGTAGATCTAAGGGTAGGTCTAAGAACTCTAAGCAAAATAGTCAAAGTAAGAACACTAGTCAGCCTGGGAGAAAGAGGAGCAAATCTAGGAAGAGAGTGTGTTACAATTGTGGTAACGCTGACCATTACATTAAGGATTGCCCTAAACCTAAGAAGACCGAGCATGCTAGTGTAGCTGTTGATAAATGTGACCTTGATGATATTTTGATGGTTTGTGACCATGTTAATTCTGTGCGTAATTCCCTGTCTGATCATGAATGGTTGATTGACTCTGGTTGTACCTATAACATGTCCCCCTTTAGAGATTTGTTTTCTACATATGAATTATGTGATAGTGGCTATGTTTCCTTAGCTGATAATAAGAGATGCAATGTGCTTGGTGTTGGTGATATATGTCTGAAGTTTTCTTGTGGCTCTGTGTTTACCATTAAGAATGTGAGGCATGTCCCTGATATGTGTCATAACTTGTTATCTGTTGCTGCTTTGGAGAGTAGTGGTTTACAGGGAAAGTGGGGGAATGGTTGCATGAAAATCTTGAAAAATTCTCTTGTGTTGTTTAAAGCTGAGAAGGTGAATAACCTTTATGTGTGTCATGCTAAACCTTTTACTGAGTCTGTGAGTGTTGTATGTTCTGATAAGACCTCTTTGTGGCATAATAGGCTAGGACATATGAGCAATAAGGGTTTAGATGTCATGCGTAGGGCTGGTTATTTTGGTAAGGACTCTGTGACTTCTGTGCCTTTCTGTGAATCTTGTGTGTTAGGCAAGTAGCATAGGGCCAGCTTCCCTCCATCCTCTTACCCTAATCTGTCTAAGTGTTCGTCTGTGCTTGAATATGTTCATGCCGATGTTTGGGGTCCTGCCAGTGTTCCTACCCACGGGGGTAGGAAATATTTCCTTTCTATTATTGATGATTTCTCTAGGAAGGTGTGGGTTTGCCTTTTAGAACACAAGTCTAATGTGTTTGTGAGGTTTAGGGAGTGGAAAACCCTAGTTGAAAACCAAACTGGCAGGAAGGTTAAAACCCTTAGGATCGATAACGGGTTAGAGTTCTGTAATAAGGAGATGGATAAGCTGTGTGTGGATTGTGGGATAAAAAGGCACAAAACTGTGCCTTATACTCCCCAACAGAATGGGATAGCAGAGAGAATGAATAGGTCTCTATTGGATAAGGTTAGAAGCATGTTAGCTATCTCTGGTTTGTCTAAGAAATTCTGGGGTGAAGCAGTTACTACTGCTACCTATTTGGTTAATAGGTCCCCATCTGTCCCTCTTGGTGGTAAGTGTCCTGAAGCCGTCTTTACCGGTAAGCCTCTTGATCTGTCTAACCTTCGGATGTTTGGTTGTGCTGCGTATGCACATCAACAGGGTGACAAGTTGGATCCTAGGTCTAAGAAATGTGTCTTCCTAGGTTATCCAGAGGGGGTAAAGGGTTACAGGTTATGGGATAGGAACCAGGTAGGCTTTAAGGTGGTCCCTAGCAGAAATGTGGTGTTTAATGAAACTGATTTTCCTTGCTTGACCGAGTCTGTTTCTAATCTTGAGTCTAGGTCTGATAGTACTCCTAGTGAGGTGGAGTCTGTCCCTGTTGCTGCTAGTCCTTTATCTATTGATCCTGTTATTTCTGATGATATTGTTATGCATGATTCTGATTCCTCTGAGCATGATAGTCCCACCACCTCGAGTGAGGTGGAGCATTTGCATGATACTGAGCATGATTTGCATGACACTGACGCTGAATCTGATTTTCAGGACAACAATAATTTGCATGAGTTGCATGTGGAGCCTAGTAGTGATAATTTGCATGATTATCAACTTGCTAGAGATAGGGGTAGAAGGGCTATCAGGAGAACTGCTGATAGTATGCCTGATTATGCTTTCAGTGTGCATGATACTTCTATGTTTGCATTTTCTGTGTTTGAATCCCTAGAGCTGAACGAACCCAAGACCTACCGTGAAGCCTTAGGTTCCAAAGAGTCTCAGAAATGGATTAGTGCCATGAAAAGTGAGATGGATTCTTTGAGAGTGAACCAGACTTGGACCCTTGTACCTAGACCCCCAACTGTTCGGTAGTTGAGTGTAAGTGGTTGTTTAAGGTTAAGGAAGAACCTAGTGATGTTAGGTTTAAGGCTAGGTTGGTTGCGAAGGGGTTTACTCAAAAAGAGGAGGTAGATTATGCAGAAATCTTTGCTCCTGTTGTTAAATTCACCACTATTCGTATGATGCTTGCTTTAGTTGCTCACCATGACTGGGAAATGAAACAAATGGATGTAACTACTGCATTTTTGCATGGTGAATTGGATAAAACAATTTATATGACCCAGCCTGAGGCTTTGTGGATCCCAAGAGAAGTGAGCATGTCTGTTTGCTCAGGAAGGCGTTGTATGGCCTGAAGCAATCCCCTAGGCAGTGGAACATCAAATTTGATAAATGCATGATATCTTTGAAGTTCCAAAAATCTGTTTGTGATCATTGCCTGTATTTCAAGAATACTTCTTCTGTACCTGTATTTTTGTTACTCTATGTGGATGACATGCTGATAATTAGTCCTTCTCTGAATGCTATTAAAGATGTGCAAAAATGTCTTTGTGCGAATTTTGCCATGAAAGACCTTGGTGATGCCAAGAGGATCCTAGACATAAACATTGTTAGGGATAGGAGTAAGCGTACTCTTACTTTGAATCAGATTTCTTACATAGAAAAAGTTTTGAGTAAATTTAATATGTTATTTGCTTCTCCTGTTAATGTCCCTATGGCATCTCACTTTGTGTTAAGTAAGGATCAGTCTCCCAAGACTGCTCCTGAAATTGAGAAAATGAAATCTGTGCCTTATTCCAGTGCAATAGGGTCGGTGATATATCTTATGGTTAGCACTAGATCTGATATTGCATATGCGGTTAGTTGCTTGAGTAGATATATGTCCAACCCTGATTTGCCCCATTGGAATGCTCTTAAGTGGTTGCTTAGATATCTGATTTCTACTGTGAAGCATGGATTAATTTTCTCTAAATGTGCTAGTGGTATTGATTTGATTGGTTATGTTGATTCTAACTATGCAAATGATAAAGATAACAGGAAGTCGACCACTTCTTATGTTTTTACTTTGTGTGGCTCTTGCATTAGTTGGAAGTCTCAACTACAGCCTATTGTGGCCCTTTCTACTACTGAGTCCGAGTATGTTGCAGCCACAGAAGCGTTTAAGGAAGTCATCTGGCTCAAACGCCTTGTCTCCGAAATTGGGTTTCTCAAAAAGGGAGTTACCATTTTCTCGGACAGCCAATCGGCTATCCAACTTTGCAAAAATCCTGTATTTCATGATAGAACTAAGCATATTGATGTTAGGTTCCATTTCGTACGTGATATTGTTGATGCAGGTGGAGTCAAGCTGTGCAAGATCCCGTCAGAGTTTAACCCCGCGTATATGGGTACCAAGTGTCTTTCTGCTGAGAAACACTTGTCCTGTAAACTCGTGTTAAACTTTGACTGTGGATAACTGTGGGTTGCGTAATAAAGTGTTTGCCCGTTTTATCTATTGATATTCCGGGTGACCCGGAGATGATGAGTCTTGTCACAACCTTATATTGTTGGAGGTATTGGTCCTACCAAGGCCCCCCTTCCACTTTATTTGCTGAGGCTTGCACCCTATTGTTTTACTCCCACTTTGGTACCTTTTCTTGGTATATATCCTGATCAAATATATACCTATTTTGAGCGGTTGACTTAATCCTCTTGGCTGGCCCCTTCTCTGCTTCTTGTCCGCTGCACTCTTTGTCTGGCAGCCTGTGAGCCTTTTTTTGTCTTGGCTCTCACCCGTGACTTCCTTCTGGCCTTGGCCTCTTCTTGTGATAGGAGCCTGCGTAAGTTTGTTCCAGAGAGCAGTGCCCTCTTCTTCTCTTTCCCTTTGTGTGAGAATAGAGAGAGGGTTTTAGTGGTGAGAAGAAAAATTAGAGTGTGCAAAAGCCTCCCCTAGAGTGGTGTGTGAGAGTGTGTGGAGATAGACCTGAGCCGGAGACGGATATACGGTCCTAACAACACGATCACCTTGGCTACTGCCTTGCTGATTATGGTTTGAAATTACATCAGACCTTCTTGGCTTGCTTGGATATATGAGTATTCTTTGAGCCTTGGGAAATGGGTGTTCACAAAAAGGAGTAGTTTCTCTATGTCAAAATCTATTTCTGCATATATTTTTTTTCAGGTACATGTGCTGGAAAATTTGTTTTCCCAAAGGAGTAGTTTCTCTATGCTTAAGAAGTGGGCAATTTGCTTTTGCTTTAGAAGTGTTGGACAATTTTCTTTCACGAAGCAGAAGTTTACACTCAATCAGTTTTAGCATGTATGGCATGTAGTAGTGTTGGTTATTTTAGTTGTTATGCTAGTTGTATTATCATTACGTATTAATATTAATTTGTAATATTCTTTTATTCATTTTCTGATGGGTGTGTGCAGACGTGCAGTACGTGTGTGTGTATACATGTGATATGAAACCATCATCACATTTAATCATACCATACGAAAGTGTCTGATATTTTTCAGTGACACATATTTTAGTATCGCAACTCCCATTTTAGTAAACCTCAGCCAAGAAGTATTATAATTATAGGTATTATAATTAGTCATAGGTATCATATTATTAATCACACGTATCTATATATAATATAAAGTAACAATGGGTGCAAAATTGTTAGAGGGAAAAATTCCGCCCAAAATAAGGTCATTATAGGAATTTTAATGCCGCCCAAAATAAGTCCATTATTATAGGGAAAAATGCTGCCCAAGATGCAATTAATAAATGTTAGAGCATCTTCAATGCTACAATGTTCACAATGCACATGTGGCATGAGAGAGATAGACACAAAAATTTGATTTTATGACATTTCTCTCTCATTCTTGTTTTTGGTAAGTTTTTCTTTACAATGTCAACCACAATGTCTACATCTAGACATTGTGTTTGACATTGTGAAGAAAAACTTATCAAAATGATCCAAGATCCTTCAAATAAGGAGAGGTATTCTATTTATTGTTTTCTAATTGACTACCTCTCATGACACGTATGCAGCGTTAACGTTTTAGCATTGAAGATACTCTTATACATGTGTTATCAAGGGTGCACATGTATTATTTTAGGAAGGAATAATAAGTGTGATTCAATTAAAAATGAATAATATGTGATTCAATTAAAATGAATAATATGTAATTCAATTAAAAGGAATAATATGTGATGCAATTAATAATTGCCATACATGTGTTACCCAGAGTGCTGTGAAATTATTTTAGGAAGAATGGGAGCATTTATAACAATTATATTAAAACAATTTAACAAAGGAGAGTGCTTTCTAATTGTAGAAATCTGTCGACCATAGTATACAACGGTAGAAGTTTGTAATTTATTGTCATAATTTCATAATTTATTTACTTTATAAAGATATTAATATTGAATAATATTCACAGGGACGCTGGGAATATTTAATGCTTACCATGGGACAAAGTTACATATCAACTCCCTCTTCTAGAAATTCAAGAGTACAAAGAAAGGTAACCTTTTAACAATTTTGTTTTATATGCATCTCTGAACTTGAGTGAATCCGTAACCATAAGTGAATGTGTGACCTTTCTTACAAGTGAAAGTACAATTTGTGAATCTCAATGACCTTTTTTACAAGTGCAGTTTGTGAAAGTTAATATGTGATCTTAAGTGAACCTTTGTGTCCTTTTTATAAGTATTTTTCATATAAATATGACCTTAAGTTTTCTTACTTTTAAAATCTAAGAAAATTAAAAACTAAAATGTGACAAATTTCACTTTTGTCGAAAGCAAATCATTAGAAGTATTTTTTAAGGTTTTTACTTTTAAAATCTAAGAAAATCAAAAACTAAAATGTGACAGATTTCACTTTTGTCGAAAGCAAATCACTAGAATTATTTTTTTTGACAAAGGTTCTACTTCTAATAAGGGAAGTATTTTTAAAAGTGTAATTTTTTTTAAAAATCTTAGAGAATACTTTAAAATTGCAGTTCTAATGGGATGGAAGTATTTTTTTGACAAAGTTTCAAATGCAACTTTTAAAAAGTGACCAAAGTTGCATATCAACTCTACTCTTTCAGAGATTCAATACTATTAAGTGAATCTTTGTAACCTTTTTTACAAGTGCAGTTTGTGAAAGTTAATATGTGACCTTAACTCAACCTTTATGTCCTTTTTATAAGCTTTTTGTATACAAATATGACCTTAAGTTTTCATACTTTTAAAATTTAAGAGTTTTTAAAAACTAAAATGTTGCAGATCTCACATCTTTGTCAAAAGAAAATCATTAGAAGTAGTTTTTTGACAAGTTGCTACTTCTGGATTACTTTTCTTTACAAGTGAAAGTGAACTTTTGTGTCCTTTTTATAAGTTTTTTGTATATAAATATGACTTTAAGTTTTCTTACTTTCAAAATCTAAGAAAACTTAAATAAGTTATTATCCAATTCTAGATATACCCCGTGCATCGCATGCTTACTTCGTCTAGTTATAAACTTATAATTAATAAGTACAGACTAGCTTTCAAATCTTCTTTAATTCATGGACTTTTTTTTATCGTCAACTAACCTTCTTTCATATCATAAGTTTTAGGATCATTACATCAATCAAAGGAAAAACAAAACTGACACTAACCAAAATCCAACAACTACGACTGTAAACCCTATGATGAGACTTAGAGACGGTTACCCTTGAAAGAGCAACACGAATCGCTAATCATGTAGCGGGCTTGACACATCCATCCCTATTCTCATAGATCCAAACATACTCAATGACACAAAAAAGGCTGAATTCCCAAACAAACTGACAAACCTAACAACATAGACGATAACAAGAAGCCAAATGACAGAATAAAAATAACTAAGAGGAAAACTTCCACGAACTCTAGCACCTCGTACAATCCATGGCGGTGGTTCAGGAGGAGGCCGTATCCTTGGTACCACTCTAATTGATCCTCCATTGTGAATCGTCATCTGGCCTGCTCGAAATCCGTGCACCTTTCCTCGTCCCGCGCTCGTAGTGAATCCACCGCTAAAGGTCATCTTCATCGTTGCCATTCCCTTGTTACCCTGCTCACAAATAAATCGATCGCCGAACTCTAGCTTCGCTGTCGTCAAGTTTGGACAAGGATTCTTGTCAATCTGCCTTAAAATCAAATCCCAGCGTCGGGCACAAGTGAAGAGGATTCACCGTCCGGAAGAACCAAACCTTAGATCTGCTAAGGAAAAACCAAACCCTATACCTGCTAGGGAGAGACCGCGACGCTCAGCGCATAAACTAGCCTCGGATCGGATATATTGCCGCACAAGAGTAACCCTACGCAAGAGGGAAACTCAAACACTATACTTGTTTGATTCAAATTATAGATATATAATTTGAATAAAATGAAAATTGCAATTCTTGGACATTTTAAAAAGTTAATAAACTTGTTATGAATGAATTTCATTAATTTATATAAGTTTACGGTCTTCATATGTTTGGTATTTATCAGTTTTATGGAAAATAATAGTTAAACAAGAAATATATTAGTACTCCGTATTAACTAACAGTCATAAACGGTTCTCTCTTCTCTCTAGAGATAGAGAAACCCTAGCGTCTGTGTCCCCTCTTTGTAGGGGTTGAGATTTTCCGCCGCCCCTACCACTAAGGGGTTGGAGCGGCAGATTATACTACTTGTAAGTGTTCTAATGCTTGGGATTGCAACTATGTCAGAGAAGATATCGATGGCGAATGAACAAGGTGCGGCTTGGAGGTTGTAATGAGGCGGGATCATGAAGCTTTGGTCGGCCATTCCGACGGTGGTGGAGTGTGTGTTGTTCCATATTGTAAGAGCTCGTCCTCCTCCAGAACCACCTCCATTCCAGAAAAAGCTTTGTGGAACGATTTTATTTCAATATTATTCTCTTTAGTAGCACTTGTTTCTGTTTTAGTCCGAATAGATTTGGTTTGAATGTTTGGATTTTTGGAGTTCTTTTGATAGGCAGAGTTTTGGTTCCGATCGTTTTAGGCCTAAATTTGCCCATCTCAGGTTTAGCGAGTCATGTTGCTTTCTGGTATGAGATGGTTGACTCTAAGTCTACTCCTAGGGTTCACGATTGGACCTGTAATTTCTGTCTGAAGGTTGTTTTGTATTTGTTCTCGATTTTAATATAACGACCGTTCTTTTTTGATAAAAAAAAACTAACATTCATAAGTCTAATTGTCTAAACATCATAAAACGTCAACTGATGATTACACATAATGATAAATAACAATTAAAGAATCTTAGATGAAACCTACAAATGTAAGAGTTAACGCCTCAAATAGGACTAATAGCAAAGTTAATTGCACATTTAGGACTAGAAACGAAACACAAGTTTCATAAGACCATTTAAAAACATTTGGATAAAAATACTCCTCTTTTAATATTTTAAATTTTAAAAATATAAAACTAAAAACTATTAAAACCCTAGCAGCAGTAACACTGCCGCCGCAAGAGACAAACCGCCCGCCGGCGCATCCTGCCTCTGCCGTCACCGGAGATGGCGCAGCCTGTCGCCGCCCTCGCCGGTGAATGCGCCACTTGTCTCCGCCCTCTCCGCCTGTTGTGGCATCCTTTCCGGCGCATCATTTCCACCCATCACCGCCCCCTGATGCCGCCGCTTCCTACACCGGCGTCACCATCCATGCCATCACCATCTGATCGGCATCCTCCACCGTCGCCATCCTCTGAGCACCACAACTCAGTCGGAATAAATCTGCCATTATGTTGGTAGATTTAGAGTTGGGGATTAGATCCACATCTGTCATAACACAAGAGTTTCAGATCTGCCAAAGAGTTGGCAGATTTATGTTGGAATATTAACACAAGCCATAAATTTGACAAAAAGTAAAAAATATGAATTAAGTAACCAAATATTCAAACAACTAAATTTTTAGTGGAATAATTTTCTTAGCACAGTCGGAAATTAGAAAAATGAAGCTATTGACAAAAAAAATAGAAAAACCAATTTATACAAAAGCATTTCTGCCATAATATGATGTTAATGTACACATTTATGCCATAAGCTTGGCCAAATCCGAAGCAATCATCCAAAATGTTGAAAATCAGAATTTGATTTAAAACTCAGAAACTAGAAATCAGAAAATAAAAACAGAAGTGCGAAAATTGGAAAATTCAATTTAAAATCCAGAAAAACAGAGAAAAATCGAAGAAGAAGAAGAAGAAGAAGAGGAAGAGGAAGAGGAAGAGGAAGAGGAAGAGGAAGAGGAAGAGGAAGAGGAAGAGGAAGAGGAAGAGGAAGAAGAAGAGGAAGAAGAAGAAGAGGAAGAAGAGGAAGAAGAAGAGGAAGAAGAGGAAGAAGAAGAAGAAGAAGAAGAAGAGAAAGAGAAATAGGAAGAGGAAGAGGAAGAAGAAGAGAAGAGGAAGAGGAAGAGAAGAGGAGGAGGAGGAAGAAGAACGTTAATGGCAGCGGCGAAATCAGAGGCGTGAGAGAGAACTCGGTCGATCTGGTGCGCAGAGCGAAGTCGGCGGCGGCGGCGATGGCCTGGGTGAAGTCGATGATGATGCGCAAAGAAGATAGAGAAGGATGTGCGCAGGAGAGAAGGAGTGAAGAGGTTGTGCGCAAGGGAGATGTGCGTAAAAGGGAGAAGGGGGTAGAAATTACCCAAAATAGGAGTAAATGTGGTTTGGAATTCCAAAATAGGACTACTATATTTTTCTTCATGAAATAGGAGTTGTTACTGTCATGTATGAAAAATACTGTCATAATTGAGAAATATTGTCATTAATTATAATTAATATTGTCATGATAAATGCACTGTACTGCTACTATTTGGCAGTCACGCCTACAAGATGACAGTAAATACTGCCATGTTAGTCCTATTTCGGGAATAAAAACATAGTAGTCCTATTTTGGAATTTCACACTCCATTTACTTCTATTTTGAGAAATCGTACGTATGTTTTAAAAATAGGAGTAAAATAGTTCTATTTGGGGAAAAACATATATGGTCCTATTTAAGAATTTCTTCCTTCTTTTAGACCTATATGGGGCAATTACTGCAAATGTAATTCATATAGTAACACAAAGTTCTATAGGAGTAATTCAGTTCTAAGCATCCAGTGATCCAGATTTATGAAGTGGAGGATGATTGCAAACTCAGTTTTTTTAACTAATGCCTTAGACCAAATGACCAATGAGAATGTAAGAAGAAAACCGTGACACTCACGGATCAGTTGTTATACCGTGGGATCTTCCCACGGTGAACATCTTACTCCCACATATAAAATGGTGTCGTTTAGGTTTAATTTAACAAAATTCGCGTGAACAGTACTTCTACTTTTGTCTATTTTTTTCATGGTGTAAATCCTTTGTATTGATATGTAACTCGCGTTATTGTAAAATGTAAATCGAGTGTTTTCAAATGTAACTCATGCGCTGGAGTTTGTAACTTGTTTTACTCATTTTTTGAAAGAGTTACATGTTTTACTCTCTCAACTTGTTATACCACTTGAAATATAGTTTTATAAAATTATTTTTATAAAAATCATATATTTTTTTTTCTATAAAATGATTTTTTATAAAAATAATTTTTCTTTGAATAGAAGAAGCTTATTTTGTTGTGTAACTCGCATTATATTGTGGTGTAACTCGCATTATGAAAAATGTAAATCACGTGTAAGTGTGATGTAACTTGCTGAGGAAAGTTGACATGTAACTCACATTCATAGATATGTAACTTGAGATAAATGGAATTGTAAACCCTTTTAATAAAAATGTAACTTTTCGTAGATACCCATGGATGACCATCCCCTGCATAAACTTGAACAAAAAAATTTGAACAAATCTGATCCCAATCTACTTTTGAAGAAAACTAGCGCTGCCCAAAAGAAGAGAACTACAGAGCATTCTTCACAAAAAGAGAACTACAGATCAGAGCACTTGAGACGGGCGAGCAAAATAGAGGTGACCGGATTGGAGCTCTTCTTCGGCGCTGATGGTGGAAACATCGTCGGAGTTGCTGCTCAGTCACTACCTTTCTGGTTGCACGCAGCACTCGAACGGCGCACGACAGTAAAGAGTGTTTTGGTTTCTGGCTTTCTGCTCTAATTGCTCTTTCACGGTAAACTGAGAGGCGTGAGAGCTGCTCTTCGGTGATAAGCTGATCGAGGCCTGAGATTCTGAGAACTGCTGGTTTGCTTCCTAAGTCACGGCTAAGTGGTTAGGGATGGCCAGGAATGAAAGGAAGAGGAGAAGCCATCTAAGTGAATGATTTCTCTCTGAATCAGAATTGGATAGGGTACGACTTTGCGAATCAGAAGAAGGCGAAAGAGTTTTATTAATAGAAACGACACCATTTGAGATCGGCACATCATGCACATGGTGGGCCGATCCCACGGTATAATCTGCACGGATGCATGCAAGCATATGTGTAATAGATTCTCATAGACGTGTAGGACAAAACCTCGATCAGGGATTCAGGGTGGTATGAGTGTGTCGTGATTTACCTGAACGGTTCTGGTACAAACCGAAAGTCGGTCAACTTGTATATAAAAATATTGTATATAAAAATAGGAAATATTGGAAATAGTAATACCAGCTATCGCCTATGCACTAACAAGAATATCAATTATTGCTTATTTTTTAATAATCTCAACTATATGGAATTTTCGCCAATAATAATGGTTCATGATCGGGTATAACCTGCTATAATTTTAAATAGAAATTAAGCGTATTCTATAAATAATATGAACTATTGTGTTTAAGAAATAAAAAATGTTGCCTTTTTTCGGGGGAAAAGTAATTTTAATGTTTGATAAATAACCGTTTTGGATTCTTTTGCAAATTCATGATTGTTACTGATTTTTAACTAATTTAAAATGATTTAATATTTTAGGATGATTAGCCTTAAATTTTTTATTATTTTCAAAACAAGTATTCATAGTTTTATCTTTTTTTACTTTCTTAATTTTAAAAATCAAGGTCTCCATTTTATTAAATTTAAATTTGCAATTAATTTCAATTTCATTTTTCCTTTAAGGTTTTTATACTACTAATTACTATACTAAAATAAAACTTATATATAAAAATATGGCTAGCTAATAATTACTACAATGTGGTGTAATGGTAATTTAAGTTTAAAAAGTAAACATAAGTCGATGATTTGCTTATTACTTTAGACACTAGTCATATTTTTGTAAACGGTCTTTATTTTAGTAGAAAATATTGTAAATAAATCGAATATTATATGTAGTACGAATTATATGATTTTATAATTTCATAAGAATGAAAATGATTGTTTTAAAGCACTAATTAAGATTTTTATACTCTTAGAACTCTATACTCGATCACGTAAACTTTAGAAATTTGTGAACTTTTAATATTTAACACTAATTCCATATACAATAAAGTCATTAATTATTTATTTATCATGTGTTTTTTCGTTTTAATTTGATAAGAAGTGAAAAGTTTCCATGTCTTTTTTTAATCCAAAATTTGATATAACACCATTTGAATAAGTAAAATGGTGTGCTTAAAATCAATTTGAAAAAGAATGAGGCTATATAAGTATATAATTGCAATTTTTTACGGGAATCTTTTGGCACAGTGTCACAGGTTTCCCCATACGTGACTTCAAGTATTTCTATGACTAGATGTTTTACTTGAGAAATAAAATTATGTTAGTCTTCTTTGTTTGATCGAAATAAAATATTTTGTTTTTTAAAACAAAATCAGATATTAAATTGGGAATTGAAGCATGATAATATAAAAAGGCAGCTATGTTTTATTCTAATTATAAGAAGAAGTGTATGTGAAGATGAATTTGTTTGTAACCAACCCTGGCCCCGGCCCAGCCTAAATTTAAAAAATGTCTGTATTTTTAGTGTAAAAAATTTCGTGTAAAATATTTTCCAAAAATATTCTTTGCGCCGGCCCAGTCTGACCCAGTGCCCTGGTTTCGCCCATGAATTGTAACATACTCCGTATTAAAAGGAAAAAGGAAAATTTTAAAAAGGGACAAATACAGTACGTAGTAAAATGAGCATGGAAGATTCGAAGGTAAAGTCTTTATTGTAACTTGGAATATGAATCAACAACTTGGAATATGAATTAGACTTGTTATTTGTTTATTACTAAAACCACTTCACACTAAAATTGGTCTTTACCAGTACTATCTTGAATAACTTCAAAGGTATGTTTGGTTGGGGTAATCATCTATGCAAGCCAGAATCTAATACCCGTAATGTAAGATGTCCATGTTTGGTTCACGAGTTTGAATTTTTTCGAAAATATTATATTCCCAAATAGAAAATAATGGAGTGACATGACTGGGAATTTCAAATTGGTAGCCTATACGCATCATCTTTTATTTTTTCTCAGTAATTATAGTAAAAGTCGAAACTAGCCTTGATAATGGTCACACCAAAGCTCATTTTTTAATACAATATTTTGTCGTAATCAACGTTGTAAAATGGCAATGAGACTGGTAGCTAGCCCATAATTGACTTAATATATAGCGGCAAGCTAAGAATAATCACTGTCAACTTTATAGTAATTAAACTAATTGATGTATTCCACTAATCGTAAAAAGAAATTGCAAAGAAAGAGTGATTCACCCACCCCCACGGCCCCACTGCGTCTATATAAAAGGAACTATAATGCAGCCAATGAACATATAATCCAAACCATTCACAAAATGGCAAAAATCCAAATGATGTTGACTTGTTTATCATCATTCCTAGCCCTATCTTTCCTTTTCACAGGGGTTTCCTGCAATCCTCATAAAACGGTTTGCCGTCGAACGCCGCACCCCGAACAATGTGAGTACTATTTGAGAGATTATGCATCTCAAAATGAAACAAATATCTTCGAAGTTAGCAAGAAAGTGGCCCTTGATCATGCCAAGAAAGCTAAAGCCTACATCGACTCTTTAGGCCCAAAATGCAAGAACGGGCGTGAAAAGGCTGCATGGGCAGATTGCGTAGAGTTATATGATGACATGGTCGAGAGGATCAGTATAACCGCTGATCCTCTCACCAAGTGCAGCGCATCTGATGAGCAAACCTGGCTCAGCGCCGCGTTGACCAACATCGACACGTGTTTGAACGGGTTCATAGAATTCAACGTCATAGACAACATATACCCCTTGTTGTCAAGCAACACATCACATTTGATTTCCAACACATTAGCCCTTAGCCAATACAACTCTACTAATGAAGATGCCACCACAGATAAAGATGGCTTCCCCACTTGGGTTAAGCCCGGAGACCGGAAGCTATTGCAGTCGCCATCACCGGCCTCTGGAGCCAAAATCGTGGTGGCCCAGGATGGGAAAGCAAACTACAAGACCGTGGGTGAAGCCGTAGAAGCAGCGGGAAAGAGAACAGGAAGTGGGAGGGTTGTGATATATGTGAAGGCCGGAACGTACAACGAAAATGTGGAAATCGTGAAGAAGTTGAAGTATATCACCATAGTTGGTGACGGAATTGGTAAAACAATTATTACAGGAAGCAAAAGTGTAGCAGGTGGCACCACCACCTTCAAATCAGCTACTTTTGGTAAGCCAATTTATCTCTAGAAATTTCAAAATCTCAATTTTTGAATTTCTTAATAATAGAGAATTAAGCACAATAACAAATGGGAACTTTTTCCTAATTGAAATTTATTTCTTTTAATTAGCTGCGGCGGGAGAAGGCTTTATTGGCCGAGGAATCACATTCAGAAACACGGCCGGACCTGCAAACCACCAGGCGGTTGCGCTGAGGTCCGGCTCCGATCATTCGGTGTTCTACCAGTGCAGTTTCGAAGGCTATCAGGACACTCTCTACGTTCATTCTAACCGGCAGTTCTACCGGGACTGCAATATCTACGGGACAGTAGACTTCATCTTCGGTAACGCCGCCGTAGTCATCCAGAACTGCAACATCTATGCCCGTAACCCGCCTAACGGGATCAACACCATCACCGCTCAGGGCCGAAAGGACCCGAACCAGAACACCGGAATATCCATCCACAACAGCAGAGTCGCGGCAGCTACTCGCCTGTCGGGAACCGCGAAGACATACCTTGGACGGCCGTGGAAGCAATACTCACGAACCGTCTTCATGAAGACTTCCCTGGGTAGCTTGATTGACCCGGCGGGGTGGTTTCCGTGGGACAGGGCGTTTGCTCTAAACACTCTCTACTACGGCGAGTATGCCAATACTGGGCCGGGGGCGCCGACGAACAGGAGAGTCCGGTGGGGCGGCTATCACGTGATCACTTCCCCAGCTGACGCTTCCAAGTTCACCGTCGGCAGCTTCCTCGGCGGTACGTCGTGGTTGCCCTCCGATGTGCCGGTCACTCCTGGCCTGTGAAGATCAGAGCATTCGGGCAGAATTTTTCGTGCACGACATTCCAAATGGAAACCGTATATTCAATTCGTACCTCTCGATATATTGTTTATTTGTTGGTTGTATTTAATATTGTCAATTAACCATTCTTGAACCATGCCAATGTTGTATATAACAAAAACGTGTATACTAGTTACTTGTATAGTATTCCCATCGAATTGTGAGCTTTATTTTTGTATCAATATGTAAATGTTTGAAACTTTCTAAAGAATAAATTCCAACGAGTATAATTACTTTTAGTTTTAGTTCATGATTATTGTGTTTTCGCCCAATATTTTTGTATGTTAAAATGGTCGGACAAGGACCACAATTGATCAAGAAAATGGGTGAATTACTAACTACTAAAGGTGAACAAAATGAAATATCTAAACTAAATGTTGAATTGACATAGGGAGGATGTAAGTTCAAATGCGATTAAATGTAATCTAATTCAGTACTACGTACTCCGTAGAATTTTATGTGAGTAAATATAAATTTCTTTTGCTGGGTCAAATGTAATTATTTACCTATTGGGCCCAGGGCTAATGGCTCCTCTCACCAGCTCACCACCAATGACTATATCTATTAGAAATATCTAATCAAGAAACTGTTCAAATTCTTCCATTTTCTTTCTTCCATCTTCTTCCACCCACTCTTTCTTTTTCCCCTTTCTTCTTTCTTTCTCCCACCCATTGTTCGTCGGCCGGCGTTTCACCGTGCACTGACCGAGAAATATCTATTAGAAATATCTAATCAAGAAAATATCTACGAAGACTATGCGTCTGTTTGATAACACGAAAACGGCTGAGTCGATTAGGGTTTTTATGATGTAATTCATGTCTGAGTTGAAGAGGAGAAATTTGAAGGCTGAGTGTACGAGTGGGCTGATTGTTGGAACAGGGAAATAAATATTGCTAACTGTTGGAAAGTAAGTGAATTGTTGTAGTGGGGCCAAAAAATGTGGAGGCAAAGATGTGGAGGGAAAAATAATGGATGAAAAAAGGGAGGGAATTAAAAAGTTGCTGCCAAAATTCATATCTAATATCACTATTTTTATTGATATTATAGTGTCATGAGTTAATGACACTTTTATTACAATTTTAGTTAATGCAATTGTCAGTGACACTAATTTTAAAAGTGTCGCTATAAGCTAGTTTTCTAGTAGTGATGCATGCTCTTTGGTGGTGGTGTTTATCAATAGTCAGTTATTGGGATTAGTTGTGTTCCACCTGAAAGGAAAAGTGCGTTTCTCGCAAAGTATCTCAGGGATGATCATTTTTAGCATGCTATAACTATTCTCGATATGGCTTCATATCCATCATTCTATGTTGGGAAAACTATCAAATAAGCCCCCTAACTTTTCAAAAAAATCAATTAACCCCCTCTACTAAAAATACGTCCAATTGAACTCTCAAACACGTTTAAAAATGTCAATTTCTCTTTTTAGCTGATAGTGATCAGGTTACCGGTTATTTTTGTACACCCTGGCAGACATGTGATTTTTTTCCATTTTCTTTTTCTTTTCTTTCCTCCACCTGCTATCTCCTTCGGGGTTCTCCTTCCACCTGCACTACCACCAAATTGTTCAAATTCTTCCATTTTCTTTCTTCCATCTTCTTCCACCCACTCTTTCTTTTTCCCCTTTCTTCTTTCTTTCTCCCACCCATTGTTCGTCGGCCGGCGTTTCACCGTGCACTGACCGAGAAGAACCCAGTCATTTCCATTGAAGCTCCTGGTCAGCAACACAAGTCGTTGTGGAACGCCGGTCGTTGTGGTCCGTCATGAATCCTACTTTGCCTCCTTTCACAGTGGTGATGAAGACTGGTCAGAGGGTTTTCTCTTCGCTAATTTGATGGATCTTCTTAGATACGAAGTGTTGGGCGAAGAAGTCGAGGGAGAAGATGTTCTTGATGGTCTAGAGCCGTCAATCGAGGGAGAAGTGCTTTGCCGAGGACGGATTTCATGGGCTACTGTTCATCGTTCGCAATGGAGAACAAAAGGGAGGCGGATGAAATGTAGGGGCTGAGGGAGAAGACTTTGTTGAGGATTTTTATTATTAGAAAAATGAAAAAAATGACATGGATATCCACATCAGCAACATTAACCGGGGAAACCGAGGAGTACCATATAAAGGTGCCATTTTGAACATATTTATGATGTTCGGGTACTTAATTGATTGAACATTTTGTATGAGGGTTTAATTAATTTTTTTATAAAGTACGGGGGCCTATTTGTTTGTTTTCCCTTCTATGTTCTTATGAAAGGTTACGTATTCAACTTTTCTTTCATTAGACTTCATTGGATTTCACATTATCAAGGACTTCTCTTGTTACATTTTGTGGTTTTATGTGAGCTATCAATTTCTTCCCTGAAAAAAGAAAGAAAAATGTGTTATAACAACTGTTTGTGGGTGTTATAGGTTAAAAGTTGTATAAGGTCATTGTGGAGCATATAGTGATGACAATAAAATGCCAGGGTGTGGACACAGTGAAGAGGTTAACACTTAATTAACTGTCTGCGGCTCTATATTACTATTGTTTTTGCCCCTACCTTTTTGGTTAGTAATTTTACCAAACATATTTTTAATTTGGACTAATTAAAATTTAAAGAAAAGACAAGTGATTTAGAAGTTTTCCCATGCCTTTTTGGCGTGTATAGTTTGAAGATATTGGAGGGGAATGGATATTTAACTCTTATTTTGTTGCTTAATTTCTTTTAGTTAGATCTGAACTAGAAGTACTTCGAATTATTTAAATCATGCACAATAGTATTAGATGTAAAAAAATGTAAGAATGAATATCAACTTTCTTCTTCCCCCTGAAATTTTAAAGAAACAGTCCTGTAAAGTGTCGTTTTTCTTTTCAATTTTAAACCTTGATCTGAATAGTGTTTATTTGAAGCTTTTTATTTTCTTTTTTTTCTGTTTTTGAATTAGCTGTTTATCCTAGAGCTCATTACTCTCAATCATATCCTTAATAGTTAGTACATAATATTGAATTAGTAAAGCTGTAGTTAATGAATGCTACGATTTGTATGATTCCATTTCAAAAATATGTTCTCCATGTACATAACTGCTCATATTTGCGGTGAGATGATTGAGAATGAGTTCATTTGAACACAAGTTAAATACTTCACCTGGCTAGCAAATGCAAAATGGACATTTATATTCTATACGTACTTAGTACTTGCATAAACGGAAATCTTGTAATTTTGAAGTTCATCTACGATGGATGGTTACTTTTTAGCAACAATATTTATTGTAGCTATCTAATGTATCTTGATTTTGTTCCTTTCGGATATTGAGAGCATCTGTTTTAGTCATAGGTCACTATGTGAGAGGTGATAAATATGTGACCACGAGTATAAGAGAATGGGTGTCATAAAATTGTCCCTTATTAGTCGGTCATTTTGAGGCAACGGGTGTGTCCGAAAAAAAACATAACAAGTTAATAAGGAATGCATTTGTTATTCACTACAAAAAAATTCGTCTGTAGTCACGGACTTAGTCACGGACCGTAGTGTAAAAAGTCCGTGACTAACACATTTAGTCACGGTTTTTGTCTGTGACTAGTTCAGTGATTAATTCCGCGTGACTAGAACGTAGTCACGGAACATTGGCCGTGACTAACTGTAGTCACGGATTAGTCACGGAACTCGATCCGTGACTACATCTTGACCGGAATGAGCCCTCCGGCACGTTAGTCACGGATCGGATGCGTGACTACTTCTAATTTAAATTTTTAAATGTTAGTCACGGACACGAGCCGTGACTAAGTTTAATTTAATTTTTTTTATTTTTTGTAGTAGTCACGGACATGTATCCGTGACTATGTTAAATTTAAAAAAAATTGAATTTATTCCGGATTAAAACGTAGTCACGGAGCTGGTCCGTGACTAATGTTTTTTGTTTTTTTAAAAAAAAATCGATTTTAAATAAAAAAAATGAAAATTGAATTTATTCCGGATTAAAACGTAGTCACGGATTTTGTCCGTGACTAATGTTTTTGATTTTAAAAAAAATCGATTTTAAATAAAAAAAATTATTTTAATTTTACTTTAAAGCAATTAGAATAAAAATAAATTCCATACAATCTTAAACATAAAAAATGTTATTACACACTGAATTAGAAAAACAAAATTCATACAATGTCAAACAATATTATGTAATTACATGCCCGTACGTCGGACTCCATTATGATAAAAATTAGAATCATCATAATCATATGCATCATCATTATCATCATAGTCACGATGATGATCCTCTTTTGCATCCACGGTGTCCAAGGGTCGGGTACTTCCTCAGCTGCCTCGGTTGCCTCCTCGATTGCCTCCTCGGTTGCTTCCTCGGCCGCCTCCTCGGCTGCCTCCTCGGTTGCCTCCTCGGTTGCCTCCTGACGTGCACTCGTCGTTAGGTGCACTCAAAATAATTAATCAATACAACACTAATACGTAGTATAGTGTAGTAAGGTTCGTATCCATAGGGAAAGGAATACTTTTCTTTTATATAAATAGTAACAAGGGGGGTTTAGATTTGTTTGGTTTAATAACACTAAGATAAACAACCTATATGAGTTCAATTCAATGAGATGAAGACTTGGTTTTGCTTTTATCCACTTAATGAAATGTTCGTCGATCCCGGTTATATCTTTAACTATCTTCCTCTCGAATACTCAATCGAGGAGTATATCTAGTTCATCGAGGGTAGTTATTAATAACGAGATGCGTTCATTAATAAAACTTACTATCGAGTCAATATAGAACAAGCGCCGTATATTAACTTGATAGTAGCAATAAACTTAAGATGAAAACGATTGAGATTGATAACCTCAACACAAGCGGTTTATTGGTTTAATCAATATAATTAATTCCCCTTGGCATATTAACCATGAGATGCATGCATTAATATTCCAAGTTTACTACCGTTGAAAGAACCGGATTAATAACAAGCGTATTAACTGATTGATTCTAGTAATAATTAATATGAGAAACAATACTAGTTGATACTTTAAGTAATGTTTAAGATATTAACATGAAATATGAATAGGAATTAATCAATACTCAAGTAAGAATATTAAAATATATGAATCCTACTATGATTAATATCAAGATGTTAACTAATTGTCATCTTAGTAACACTCCCCAATATTATCATAGAGGAAGAAATAACTATTACTATAACCAATGTCAAGATGTTAACTAATTGTCATCTTAGTAGCACTCCCCAACTTTGATATAGAGATAGTATTTTGAAAGAAAGAAT